GTATATTGTCATGGAGATGGAATGGAGAACTTACAAGCTTCGAGTGGGAGTTTATCTGTATTAGTTACGAGGGAAGGTGGTGTAGTGATAAGTAGTATTGTCTGTGATTATCCCTGCTCTGAGAGTAGCTATTATGTTAGTTACGAGGGAAGGTGTTGTAGTGATAAGTAGTATTGTCTGTGATTATCCTGCTCTGAGAGTAGCTATTATGTTAGTTACGAGGGGAAGGTGGTGATAGTGATAAAGTAGTTATTGTCTGTGATATCCCTGACTTGAGAGTAGCTATTATGTTAGTTACGGAGGAAGGTGTTGTAGTGATAAGTAGTATTGTCTGTGATTATCCCTGCTCTGAGGAGTAGCTTTATGTTCGTTCGTGGGAGGTGGTGTAGTGATAAGTAGTAGTGTCTGTGATTATCTGCTCTGAGAGTAGCTATTATGTTAGTTACGAGGGAGGTGGTTGTAGTGATAAGTAGTATGTCTGTGATTATCCCAGCTCTGAGGTAGCTATTATGTTAGTTCGAGGGAAGGTGTTGTAGGTGAGAAAAAGTAGTATTGTCTGTGATATCCCTACTCTGAGAGTAGCTTTTGTTAGTTACGAGGGAAGGTGTTGTAGTGATAAGTAGTATTGTCTGTGATTATCCCTGCTCTGAGAGTAGCTATTATGTTAGTTACGAGGGAAGGTGTTGTAGTGATAAGTAGTATTGTCTGTGATTATCCCTGCTCTGAGAGGAGCTATTATGTTAGTTACGAGGGAAGGTGTTGTAGTGATAAGTAGTATTGTATGTGATTATCCCTGCTCTGAGAGTAGTATTTGTTAGTTACGAGGGAGGTGGTGTAGTGATAAAGTAGTATAGTCTGTGGATTATCCCTGCTTCTGAGAGGAAGCTGTTATGTTAGTTACGAGGGGAAGGTGTTGTAGTGATAAGTGTATTGTCTGTGGAATTATCCCTGCTCTGAGAGGAGTCTGTTATGTTAGTTACGAGGGAAGGTGTTGTGATCAGTATTGTTGTCTGTGATTATTCTAGTGAAGATACAGTTGTCTCAGGTATTGTTGTGGTCTTAGTGATGATATTACAAGCAGCTGGACCTGTAGTTTAGGAAGTCCAAACAACCTTGTCTTATAAACTGGTGAGGTTAATGAAGTCTCCAGCAATCCTTAGGTGATGTTTAATTTATTAATAAGTCTTAAAGGTTGCCATTGAAGGTGAACAGAAACTAGTATATGGTAACTGTAGACAGTTCAGTCCTTGGGGCCAGCTATTGGACCAGTATTGAAACCCAGGTCAACCCTGGTACCTGTTGGCCCCTCCTCTTAATTCATTGTGGCAGTCGGACTGCAGTTCTCCTCCAGGTAGATCAAGCCTCCACTGTTGAAGATTTTACCCAGATAAGCTAAAACCTGTCTAGTGTTGTGTTTAAGACAAGTTTACCTCAAACGATTACACAGGCATTTAATTGGTCCAGGGACAGTCCGCCAAGTTTGGCAGCTGAAACAAGTTACACTGGTAATGAACAAGCTAACTGGGAATGAATAACTTATACATGGTATGAACAATTTACAGTGTTAATGAAGTAACAGTGGTAATGAACATTTACACAGGTAATAAAACAGTTCCACTGGTAATGAAATACTTACAAATGGTAATGAACAATTTACAGTGGTAATGAAAGTTACAGTGGTAATGAACAAGTTACCGTAATGAATTAACTTACAATGGTAATGAACATTTACAGAGGTAATGGAAGTTAAAATGGTATGAACAAGTTGCACTGGTAATGAATACCTTACAATGGTATGAACAATTTACAGTGGTAATGAAGTTACAATGGTAATGGCAAGTTACAATGGTAATAAACACGTACAGTGGTAATAAACAAGGTTCATGGTAATAACACGTTACAATGGTAATGAACACAAGTTACAATGGTAATGAACCAAGTTACACTGGTCATAAACAAGTTCCACTGGTAAAAACAAGTTACAATGTAATGACACAAGTTACAATGGTAATAAACAAGTTACACTGGTAATAAACAAAGTTACAATGTCATAAACAAAGTTACCTGTCCTAAAACACGTTACAATGGTAATAAACAAGTTACAATGGTAATAAACAAGTTACACTGGTAATAAACAAGTTACAATGGTAATAAACAAGTTACAATGGTAAGAAACAGTTACAATGGTACTGAACAAGTTACATGGTTAATGAACAAGTTACACTGGTAATAAACAAGTTACAATGGTAATAAACAACTTACAATGGTAATAAACAAGTTACAGTGGTAATAAGTTACAGTGGTAATAAACAAGTTACAATGGTAATAAACAAGTTACAATGGTAATAAACAAGTTACACTGGATAATAAACAAAGTTACAATGGTACTAAAACAAGTTACATGGATAATAAACAAGTTAAGTGTAATTAAGGGGGTTTTCAGTGGTAATAAACAAGATACAATGGAATAAAAAGTTACAATGTAATAACCAAGTTACAATGGGTACTAAACAAGTTATAGTGGTAATAGTACAGTGGTAATAAAAACAAGTTACAAATGGTAATAAACAAGTTACAATGGTAATCAACAGTTTACATGGTATTAAACAAGTTACAATGGTAATAAACAAGTTACAATGGTAATAAACAAGTACAAATGGTAATAAAACAAGTTTACAGTGGTAATAAAGTTCAGTGGTAATAAACACTGCTACAGTGGTTAATAAACAAGTTACAATGGTAATAAACAAGTTACAATGGTAATAAACAAGTTATAGTGGTAATAAGTTACAGTGGCAATAAACAAGTTACAATGGTATAAAACAAGTTACAATGGTAATAAACACGTTACACTGGTAATCAAACAAGTTGTTCAATGGTAATAAACAAGTTACAATGGTAATAAACAAGTTACAATGGTAATAAACAAGTTACAATGGTAATGAACAAGTTACAATGGTAATAAACAAGTTACAGTGGTAATAAACAAGTTACAATGGTAATAAACAAGTTACAATGGTACTGAACAGTTACAATGGTAATAAACAGTTTTCGCAGTGGTAATGACAAGTTACAATGGTAATGACAAGTTCCAATGGTAATAAACAAGATACATGGTAATAACCAGTTACAGTGGTAATAAACAAGTTACAAATTGGTATAAAAAGTTTACAGTGGTAATAAACAAGTTACAATGGTAATGAACCAAGATAAATGGTAATAAACAAGTTACAATGGTAAAGACACAAGTTACAATGGTAATAAACAAGTTACAGTGGTAATAAAACATGTTACATGGTAATAAACAAGTTTTCAGTGGTAAATGAACAAGTTACAATGGTAATGAACAAGTTACAATGGTAATAAACAAGATTACAATGGTAATAAACAAGTTACATGGTAATAAACATGTTACAATGGTAATAAACAAGTTAACAATGGTAATAAACAAGTTACAATGGTAATGCACAAGTGTACAATGGTAATAAACAATTAACAATGGTAATAAACAGTTACAATGGTAATAACAAGATACAATGGTAATGAACAAGTTACAATGGTAATAAAACAAGTTACCGTGGTAAAAACAAGAACAATGGTAATGAACAGTTACAATGGTAATAAACAAGTTACACGTGGTAATGACACAAGTTACAATGGTAATGAACAAGTTACAATGGTAATAGACAAGTTACAAT